AGAGAATTATTACTTAGATTCCAAGTTGGTTTGCTATACAGATGCCACAAAAGCAAGCTGGGGCTGCTCTAGACTTTGCAAACTGGAGAATATGTCCTAGATTCTGCATTCATGTCTTTATCTGTAATCAGCTAAACCTTCAGGTGTGAAAGCATCTAAAATAAAAACGTTTAAAAAACTCAACAATCAGAAACCACAGGACCAAACCATTGGGCCATCTATGGATCAGGAAACTCCTTCTGGCGTAACAAAACTGGTGGCAATAACAAAATCGGGGATAGCTTACAGAGGAAGCAGTCTGTTAGCACCTACTTCTGTTTTGGTATCTTACAGCTCTCTGACACAAGAAAGTCACTGACTTGTTTTCTGATTTGAGTGCTTCCTCTACAACTGATTCAGCTATTCTGGGAGAATATCTTGTCAGGGAGCCCCAAGGAAGCAAATGGCATATCCAACATGGTAACCAAATACAGAAGCAAGTTTCAAGTTCTCACCGAATCTGTAATGCTTACACCTTCAATAAGAATAACAGTGCACACAGAGCTCAGTGCAAACACAGCTAGCCAAATAGCCATAAAGTTGTCAGAACTGTGTCTATGCAGTGTTTTGTAGTGCTCATGTCCACATTGTTTGAAAGCATACATAAAGAACAGCAGGGTAAAAAGGAGAAAATCCACTTTCAGAGTAGTGTCAATGCTATTAAAAAGAAACAAAACTAAACTTGAGTCAGTACTTACACTTCCACTTTAAAGAAATCAAAAACCATCATCTTTTTCTATTCTGGTTTATTTGCATATTTATTTTGATCCAGACGAGAAATGTTAGGTCACAATTGCCATCTATCTTCCTCCTTCCCACAGAAAGAGACCCAGCTGAGGGAAGAACAGAATGTCCTACTCCAAACATAACTCCTTAAAGGGTGTTAGCTGGAAGAAAACATCTGTGACAAACCTGCCAATAACTTCTTGTCCTATTCAGCCTAATTTCTTGCCAGACCAAGCAGAAGAAATCAAGGAAGAAACAGACTTTTTCACAAAGCCAGATTCTCCCTTGATGAAGTTAAGTCTCCCAGAAATTGGCAATTAGTATGTGAGCGGAGCACTGAATGGTCACCCTTCTCTTACAAGTAAGCAGGTCGCCAGAGTAGGCACATAACAACTGTGAGGTGCAGTCAGTAGGAGAACTGGCCAATAAACAGCTGGTGGTTTTGGAGACTGGAAGCCTGCTGCTCTTGCAGTTGTGTTATCACCCAGCTTGAGGATTTTAAAACCTTTCTCCCTGTTTTATTTGTATGATTTTGTTTTGTTTTCAAATCCTTAACACTGTATGCCCAAATATTAATGTTATCCTGTGGTGCCCCAATCTTCTTGGCGAACATCCCTGGTGTTTTCCTACAGGAGTCAGTGATGTCTGTTCTCCCCAGTGGAAGCAGAAACGTAACAGATGATGGGGATTTTCACTAACGTCTGCGCCTACTTTATCAGAACATGATACATTAAGATTATTCTACAGAAAATAACTATTGGCAGGCTTTTCAAAATCCAGATCTCTTTAACTTGTACTAAATTACATTTCATTGTGGCACTGTTTGCTCTAAATGTAAAACAGTGTTTTGGAAGAATTTCAATTTCTCTGGAGTCAAATCAGTGAAAACTAAGAAAATCTGCTGTGAGTAACATTTTTTCTCTGTGGTAAGCTGCTTTTGAGTAATATTGAGCTGATCACACATTCTGCATACTAACCATTATCTTCCTGAATCTCTTGATATTTCTCTTTTTTCCTTTTGACTGTAGAAACTGCTATCATTGCAGTGCTTGTAAGGTCTACCTGATTGCCAAGTGATTTGTATTTATTTGGCATTGTGTCAATGTCTATATGCATATTTAATATGCCTGCAGCACACGTTCATAGTACAGCTGTGACGCCTCCCTAAATGATTGTTTTAAGGTCACAGTTGCACAACTTATCTTTGCATGATTAACTTTGAAATCGGAAGAAGTCACTTCCAACTGTGTAACAGCTTCTTTAAAGCTACAATCATCTGGACAGTGACACTGTCCTTCAGACAGCAACTGCATATTCAGAGCAAAAGGAAAACACTGTCTGAGATTCCATCTCCAAAGCAAGCAGTTTACAACTGAAATATCCTATTTTCTCTCATGGGTGGGATTTCAGCTCTAGGTCAGGAGAATAAGCATTTATGAATTTGCAAAGGCAGTCTTTTTGAGGGCATCCTTCTTTTCGCTAATAGCACAGTGTGGACTTTTCTGAGCCGCAGGAAGTATCAGGAAGGACTCCTTACTTTGTCATTCATGTATGTTTCACAATGTTAATTCCAGAGGTTTTTAAGAAATGCCAGCCTCTTCTGAAAGCAGTGTGAAGCAGTATTTTGGGGTTTGGTTATCTTATTTACCACATAGCCTTGGAGTAACAAGTGGGTTAAACAAATTAGTAGAAAGTCTTTCTTCCTTTAGACATTATTTTCATGGTTTTTGTTTGTTAAAATAACATGCCGTGCTTAAAACTTTCATGCCATTCCAGTAGACATGGACTGGTTTTGTTTACCTTATGGATATATTATTGGCACCAAAGCCCTGTCAGAACCCTTTTTCTATCACTAGTACATGGCTGACCTGCAGAATCAGGATCAGTATACTATCTCTACTGAACTGATTCTGCAATATTGCTATTTACTCCAGCTGCTGTCAAAATTAGTTTGCAGTCTTTTTAAGACTTAAGTAAACCTTTCACTAGCTCGGTCTTTGCACTGTACAGTGGTCTGCATACCTTAGTATATAGATGAAACTATTCCTCTTGTTTCCTTTTTTTTTTGTTTATTATAGAGTTCTAAAGTATATTTATTTTCTCATTTTTATGGAACCCAGTGCTTGAATAACAAATTTATTAATAAAGAAAGAGGAAATAAATAATAATAATAATTAAAAACAAAACAAAACAAACAAACAAACAAAAAAAAAAAAAAAACAAAAAACAAAAACAGTAGGAAATCACCAGATAGTGATATAAATGCTCAATTATTTATCCAGAAGCAACTATTTATATCCGGATGCTCTTTATCATGAGTGGAACTCCACTAATTTCTACATATCTGAGTGTAGAAATAGTAGCCAGTGTGAGTGAAGAGGATGAATTTGGCACTAGGTTGATCTGATCATATCAACATGCCAAGTGTTGCAAATAAAGTCACAAAATTGACCTTTACATAGACTGTCTTCACTGGCCACACCACTTAGCATTCTTCTGTTCGCTGCTGGTAGAAGTGACTTGCACCATTTGGTACAGAAAACATAGAACTTTTTTAGTAGTATAGTTGTGCCTTTATAAAATATTAGGCCAAGAAAGTAATTTCATTTTCATATGTGCTAATTGTTTCAGGTAAAGATGCAGATGGGCAGCGGGCAGCATGATTGGCAAAGGATTAAAAATCAGAGAATGGCAATATGAAGTAGAGTTATGACTGCAAACTTCCCAAAGAGAATGAGTTTAGAGATCCCATGTATCTGACAAAGATTGTGTCTGTGCACTAAGGTGAGGGAACAGGTCACTTTCATGAGACTTCACAGTGAAAGAAGCAAGGGCAGCAACAGTATGAAACATGCCTAAATGAAAAAGTGAGGAGCTCTGACATCCTCCGAGTCTTTGCACAGCACCGTGATGTGATAAGACCCAAGAAACCTTTAAACGCTTTTGTAGCGCGATCGCTCCATTTACCGGTAGTTACGGCGGGATTCACAAAGCAGCCATTACGATGAGGAAGAGGAAAGCCGCCTGCCCCCGCACGGCAGAGATGCGGCGATTCGGTGGGTTCAGCAAAGGGTATTTTTTCTCTTATTTCGGCGGGGCCGGGGCCGGGGCCGGGGCCGGGGCCGGGGGGGGCCCGGCGCTGCCCGGCCGGCGGCGGGCGGGGGGTGGGGAGCTGTCCGTGGTGCTGCCGCCGCCCCGCGCCCCCCGCCCCGCCCCGCCTCCCCCCGCATCCCCCCGCTTCCCTCCTCCTTCCTCCTCGTCCCCCGGCCTTCCCCCCGCGCCCCCCCGCCTTCTCCCCGCCTCCCCCCCACCCCCCCCTCACCCCGGGGCCGGCCCCCGGGCCGGGCGGTGAGCGCGGTGCCGCGCAGGCATCAGAGCTCCCCCGTCCTCTGTGGGCTTTGTTTGGAGGAAAGGTTCAAAGTCTCGACCTGGTGCTTTTTGGGTTTTTTAATTATCAAAAAAAAAAAAAAAAAAAAACAAAACAAAACAATCAATCGCAAAACCAGCCGGTTAAGGCTGAGAGTGGACAGGTCGCTGTCGCGGCTCGTACCCCCCGTGCAGGCTCTCTGCGCCGCTGCGCCCACCGCCTATTACGAAGCGTCCGTGACAACTAAAGGGGCTGGGAAGAGCTCGCAGCCCACCCCGGGAGGAGAGAGAGGGAGAAGGGCGACCGCCCCCGCCTCCCGCGCCTCGGGGACCGCCGAGATCCGGAGGGAGAGGGGCGGCCGCGCCCGCCGGGACGGGGCCGGGCCCTGCTGACACTCGGCCCGCGGTACCGGGCTTGCTCCCGCCCGTTAAATAAATATTTTTGCTCCCCTTGCTCCCACCCCTTCCCCCCGCCCTCTTCTCCTCTGCGGGCGTTGAGGTACCGGTTAAGACGCTGCTGCCCTTAAAAGAGCCGGGGAAAAAAAAAAAAAACAAAACAAAAAAGGAAAAAAGAGAAAAACACAGTGGAGAGACCGCCCCGCCGCCGGACGCCCGCCGGGAGCGCAGCCCGCTCGGCCCTCCGGCGGCGGCTCAGGGTGCTCCGCCTCGTCGGGGCAAGGCTGGGGGGCCGGCCGCGGGCCCTGCGCTCCGCCGCCGCGGCAGGGACACGGGCGCGGGGGCGAGGCGGGGCCCGCGGGGCCGGGCCGGGGCGGGCCGGGGCGGAGCGGCACCGGCTGGAAGGAGAAAACAAGCCGCGGGCAGCTGCGCGGCGTCCTCGCAGGTGGAGGCGGCGGCGGCGGCACCGCGAAGGCACCTCCGGGCCGGGCCCGGGGCCGGGGAGCGGCGGGGCCGGTCCGGGCGCTCCCATGGGCAGGGCGCTCCGGGATTGCCGCCAGCCCCGGGCAGCGCGGGGCGGCCGAGCGGCGGCTGCCGCGCTCCGCGGCCCCGGGACGCACGGCGGGTGTGAGGCCGGGGCGGGCCGGGGCATGGCGCGGAGGACGAGCGGAACGGCGGCAGACGAGCTGGCCAACGCCGCCGCCCGCGGCGACCTGCAGCGCCTGAGGGAGCTGCTGGACGACGCGGCGGACCCCAACGCCGTCAACTCCTACGGCCGAACCCCCATCCAGGTAGGTGGAGGGGTGCGGGCAGCGGGGCGGGGGCCACGGCCCGCCCGCGCCCGAAGAGCGGCGGCGGGGGCCCTGGGGCGGCCGCCCGGCGCCCCCCACGACGGCTGCGCTCGGCTGCTGCCGGCGAGGCGCGGCGGTTCCGCTCGCCTTTCTGGAAAGGCGAAAGTCCGTGACGGCCGCAACAGAGAGGTTTTAGTCTTAGCAACCCCTGACTTTACGTTAACCAACTCAGATAGGATGACTCAAAACCGAGAACGCTAGTGCTCATCTCGCAATAAACGTGCAATAAAAAGTAACGAGTCACCTTTTCGAGAGAGAATTGCCCCCTCGTCATACCTCGTCTTCTGACTTATACATCGACTAGTATTTTTCTTCTCCTCTCACGTGGAGAAAGTCTGCTCACTAACTTTCACGGTATGTTCACTGCCTCTTACAAGCAGAAACATTGGGGTGCGTTGCCCAGCAGACCCTGCAGGTAGACAGCTGGCCGTCCCCGTGGAGCTCAGTCTGCCCACGTTTAACCGTTGAGTGAACGTGTAGATAGAGGTAGTGCCCGGAGGACGAGTAGATACTAGATTTATAAAGCTAAGTTAATTTCCGAGGTAGCTCTGGCCAGGTGCTTCTTGAGTTTTCGAAATAAAACGAAACGGGAATAATCTGATAAGCTACATTTACGTTTTACGGCCAGAGGCTGCGAAGCTCTCTTCTACAAAATGTCGGTGCAGCATTTCACTCGAAACACGTATCTGATACCGTCCTACGGCATTTGGTTTTTTTCTGCGCCTTTGCGCAGGAGGCGTGTAGCCCGTGCGCTGGACACGCCGCCGGGTGCGCTGCGGGAAACGCAGCCCGGAAAACGGCGAGCCCGAGGAGGAGGGCTCCCGGGCATTTTGGCGCTGCGCTGGGCAGGGGAGTCAAGTTTGAGGTGCGCGTTGGGTCTCTCCTGAGGGCGAGGGAAGCGCGGGCGCCGCGCTGCAGGGAGGACGGGTTCTCCGCACACGCGTGTCCCCTTGCCAGGGACCTGCTAGAAAAGCGTCCCGAGTGAGAGCGGGGACGGCGGCCAGCCCCCGGGAGCCGCTCCCCCGGCACGGTTCCGCCGTGGCCGTTGCAAAGCGCCTCGGGACTCGCCCTCGGTTCCTGCGCCGGGAGCAGGCTGAGCCCCTTCCCCCGGCCCTTTCGCCCCGCGCCTGCCGCCCTCCGTGCCGGCTCCTGTCACGGAGCAGCCCTCGCTGCGGACCCGCACCCCACGGGGCCCCCGCGCCGCGCTGCCCACCTGCCCCGCGGCGCGGAAAGGGCGCGTTTCCCTCCGCCGCGCCGCGCTCCCCGCCGGCTCGGTGCTCCCCGCCGCTCGCGAACCGTCCGGAGCCGACCTCCAGGCTTCACCCGCGGATCCCCCGCGGCGGGGCCGGGCGGGCGCTGACGCGGTCTCTCCCCGCAGGTGATGATGCTGGGCAGCCCGCGGGTGGCCGAGCTGCTGCTGCAGCGCGGGGCCGACCCCAACCGCCCCGACCCACGCACCGGCTGCCTCCCGGCCCACGACGCGGCCCGCGCCGGCTTCCTGGAGACGCTGGCGGCGCTGCACCGCGCCGGGGCGCGCCTCGACCTGCCCGACGGCCGCGGCCTCCTCCCGCTCGACGTGGCGGCCGGCGGCCCCCACGGACCGGTGGGCCGGTACCTGCGACACCCGCCGCCCCTCGCCTAGCCTCCTCCTGGGTGGCGTCACCTGCTTGTGTCCCCCCCCTAATTTATTGCCCACGCCCGCCTCGGGAGACACGAGCAGCACGCAGGTGCGCGCGCTGTTAATAACCCCCAGACCGCATCTTCCCGCTCGGATGCATGAAGGACCGGCGGGATATGTATTGTTTTCGATGCTATACTTTGCACATGTCTGTATGTTAACCTGTAGTTTGAAACCCTATGCCCCTCCACGCACCCCTTTTTTTTTTTTTTTTCACACGAGTCCAAACACTGTGAAGAGAAATAAATATGAAGGAAAACTCTCCCACAGAGATGGCACAATAAACACTTTGTGTTTTAACAGGACTGCATCCAGGCTTTCTGTTTGCCCTTCTCCCCAGGGCTCCCCGCTCATGCTTCCCAGCTCTCAGTCTGAAGGGGATGGGAGAGGCTCCGGGCTCTCCCAGCCCCAAGCCGACTGCCCCCCATTTGATTTCAGACTCAAATCAGGCTCGAGGGGCACTGAAGCCAACCTCTGCCTCTCCCTAAAAAAAAAAACGGCCGGAACAACAGGGAATTGAGGCTTCCTGTTGCGATTGTGGCTTTGGCAAGTACCTTCTGAAAACCACGTAAGATGCTATGCATGTCTGTGCACGGGCTCGTGGTGCATTCGTGGCTCTTCTCATGAAGGCTGTAAACATGGGACCTGGAAGGAGAAAATAAGGAGCGATGTGTGTCTCTGCAAGCCCGATACCGCCCTCGCTTGAAGTAATAGGTGCTTTACCAACTTGCAGGTGACCTTCTCTGAGTTAATGTAAGTCTAACTTACTGTAAGTAAGATTTTGAAGAAATCACGATGGTTGCAAAATGAAGGAGGCATGGAACTAAAATTTAAAAGTCATACGTCTGTGCTCAGCCCCAGGTTTCCCGAGCTGCTCGAAGGTGGCACGTTTGGTTAAGAAACAAACAAGCCGTTGTAACAACAATCAGTTGTAATGGCTGTGCTGCTGGAGGAGGTACAAGGGCGGTGGGTAGATCAATCGATTACCTGAGAGCCAGTCCCCATTTCGCGGTCTGGGTCTGCCCCGGCGTGGGGAAGCTGGGTGTGAGCATCCCATGGCAAAGCCACAGCAGCAGCCCAGCCTCCGTCAAGGGGAAGCGGGCGGGCGGGCGGCTGGGGAGACCCGCTCCCACCACGGAGGGTCCCAAACCCCTGGGGGAGTGCTGAGGGCAGAGCCCTGGCAGCAGCGAGAAGGGCGGTGAGGCAGGAGTCTGGGACAGCTCCCACGGCGCAGGTGGGAGACCTTGCCTCCCTCCCCAGACGGGGCTGTGCTCGTACACCCTGCACCTTAGGGACAGGGAAGGGGCGAGCAACACAGGGCAGTGGGAGAGCTCTATCTTGTTCCCCAGCACAAACCCTGGGCACTTTGCAGAGCTACCTGTACAAATGGAAGGGGAAAAAGATTTACCTTCGTTTTGCGTTCCTACTGAGTCTCCAACTCCCAGATGTGTCATTAAACATTAAAATGTTAACAATAATATATTCTTTCATATAATGTATTGCAATATGTAATTTATTACAACATAATTTTATACAATGCATGCTTTATAATTACTTTGTATAAGTTGGCACACTATATATGTGTAGTTATGCCATATATGTATGTGATACATCTATGTAATGCCTATATAAAAATATACATAATATACATATATATAAAAATCATTGTGATTATGTATCAAGCCTAGGTATTTGATTATCAATTATTTTTATATGTAATACACTTATGTTTAATTATAACTACATTATATGCATCAAAATATATACAAAAATATAATATTTAATCTATTTTCATTCTTATTTATTATAAGAATGCCTAGAATATATATTTTATACATCTCTTTTAAAAGACAAAAATACAAAAATACAATATGGGATGATAACACCTTATGAAATTGTACTCTATTCTGTCTTAGAACATGGCATAGCCATAAGTGAGCCAAGGACAACACTGGAGACGCAGCAGCCAAGTGCCTGCATCCCATGCCTGAGGGAACTGGGATGGAGCCGGGACCAGACACAGAGATAGGGCAAGGCTAAAGCTTCACCACCCTCTTTACAGAAAAGTAAGGGTCTAATAAAAGGCACTTCCAACCTCAGTTAGACCAGTAATCCAGTTTTAAAGGGTCATTTTCTCCAAGAACCAGAATTCAATTTAAAATGTGGAGTATTTCCATTACAGCTTATGAAAGAACAACAACCACCATCATCAACATCATAATAATAATAACAACAACAATAATAATAATAACAACAACAACAATAATAATAATAATAACAACAGCAACAGTAATAATTAGTTGGCAGGGAAATAACAGACTTTCGTAGGCTAACTCTACCAAATGAGCAGAATATGTCCTCAAAACCCAGCAGGGCTAAATGCCTAATTTTTATAAATCTGCCTCTCACGCTGTAGGTCCGGAGCCCCTGCCCAGGCCAGGCCCACGGTAGGGGCTACTCACCCAGTGGGAAGATGAGGATCCCCAACACGATCCTGCTCAGATGTGAGAGCTTCCACAGGCACCTTTTATTCTGACAGCAGCATCAGCTTCAGGGCTCAGACTCCTCTTTGAAAAGAAGAATAGTAATTGGTAACAACAACAAACAGCAGCAGGAATATATGTTTCAGGAAGACCCTAAAAGCATCATGTTCACCATGGCAAATAGCTTGCACTTTTTATTTTTAATATCGCAGCTGTACTTGAGTACATGGGCGCATGCACACACACAAGCACAACCCTCTGCAGCAGTGTTTGCGCCCTGTGCACAGCAAGACGCTCCTCAGGCCCGGCTCGGCCATGCATTCAGCGTTGGTGGGTATTTGGTTTCTATTGCCAAAACTGTCAGTTTGTCCTCCCACTGCCGCTCCAGCACCTGTGTCATGCAGCCAGGCAGGCATTTATTTCCCTCAGTTTTGCCTTGCCTGTCAGAAGGAGTTTCCACGGAAGGAAGAAAAACTAACCAACCAAAAAAAAAAAAAAAACAAAAAACCCAACAAAAACAAAAAAAAAAAAAACAAAAAAAAACAAAAAACAACAAAACGGGCATCTCTTGAGGAGGAGCTGCTTTCATTTCGAAATGGCTGTTTTCACTCACCCATTTCCCAGGCTTGAAATCGGACTCGGTCCAGGAGAAACCATTACAGGCTCTTCTTTATTAGCATTGTTGTTAGGGTTACTCCATGCCCAGGCAGAAGAAGGAAACTTCTGTTGACATCGGTGTTATTACTGTTTGTCCAGCCGAGAGAAGGAGGTGTTTGTTGGAGCAGGGCGGGGGGGGGGGGGGGGGGGAGGAGGGGGGGGGGGCAGAGATGTTACACACGCGTATATTCACCAGCCAGCCCTCCCGAGGACAGTCGCGCTGCCTCCCGTCCCCGGAGCCCTCCCCGCCGGCTCCCTGCGCTTCCATCTGCGCGCCGAGCCCGGGGAGGGCGAAGATGCGCCCGCAGGACCGACACCCTCCCTGCCCATCACCCTTCCCCGCACCTCGCACGGAGGTACCCCGCACCGTGGGAGGGGGGATGCGCAGGCAGAGGGGCTCCCGGGGAGGGGGCCGGGCCGGGTGGTAACGGGACCCCCCACCCCACCGCCGCCTGGAGATCCTCTGCCGGGCGGCCGGCCTCGCTCCGCACCGGCTGTCGAGGGGCTCAGCACCCTTCCGGCGGTGGCCGCGGCAGCGCCTGGAACAGGTTCGAGAGGGGGGCGCCGGCAGGTTGACCGGGGCTTTTGGGCGCTCCCCCGCTGCTCCCCGCCCGCCTTCCCCGCTCCAAAATCTCACCCTTCAAACCGAAAACAAAGCCGTCCGGCACCGCCGAGCACGGCCGGGAAGAAGATCGGGGGAGAGGAAACAGTTAATTACCCGTTTCGGTTACCGGCGGGGGGAGACGAGATCCGCTTTTTTTTTTTTTTTGCCTTTTTTTTTTTTTTTTTTTTTCGCTCCGCTACTCAACGGCCCCGCGTCGCTTTCAAATGATCCATGTGACAAGGAAATAGCTGCTCGCCCGGGCCAATACTGGCCTGCGCTTTTAAAGCGGCAGGGATCAGCTAGCCGGCCCCCGGGGGGACGGGCGGGGGCCGCGGTGAGCTGGGCCGCCGCAGCCCCGGCTCCGCCGCGGGGCACCCGAGCGGAGCGGGGTCCAGAAACAGCCAAACAACGAAGAACAAACCAAAATCACGCATCCCCGACTAACGGAGCGGGAGGCGGCGTGTTTGGAGGGGACAGCCGGCGGGGGGGGGAGCGGGGAGGGAGGGCAAGGACATGTCGTCAAGGCTTTATTTGAAAGCAGGGGAGCGCCCTGCGATTGGACGGCCTCCACGCCCGTTTGGTGGTGGTGCTCCGCGGGGCCAGTCGGTGGGAGGGAAGAGGAGCCGACGGCCTCCCCCGTTCCCATCCCCCGCTGCCGGTCCTCCTTCGCCCGCTTTCGAGACGGGAGCCATCATCATGGGAGGCGTTTAAGGGCAGGGGAGGAGCGGGGGGGAGGGAGGGAGGTAAGGCCAAACGGGGAGTCGAAATTCGTCAAACGGAAAACAGAAAACAAAAAAAAAAAAAAAAGAAGAAGAAGAAGAAAAAAAAAAAAAAAAAAAGAAAGAAATCCTCTCCAATGAATGGAGGGTGAGAGGGCCGATTCACCGGTGGGGCCCCGCCGGGGAGGTATTTCTAGCGCGGCACGCCGGGGGCTCCCCCGCACCCATGACCCCCCGGATAAGGTGCACCGTCCGCTTTCGGCACTCCCGCAGCCTGCGCCGGGCCCGGGCGCTGGGCTGGCGCATCCTCCGCGGTGTCGTCGGGGCGCTGGCGCGGCGCTGGCCGCCGCGCCTCTCCCTGCTGCTGGTTCTGCGGCGGAGGCGCCGCGGGAGCCCCCGGCCCAGGTAGGGCCCCCCCGGGGAGCGGGGTGCTCGGGGGGGGGGGGGCGGCGGGGGGGGGGGGGGGGACACGGACCCGATCGTCGCGGGCGTCCCGACGAGGCGGCGGGAGCGGCGGGCGGCGGGGGGGTGCCCGCTCCCCGCGGCTGCCCGGGCCCGGCCGCGCAGCGCCGCGGAGCCCTCTCCGCGCCACATGCTCGGGTTGCACCGGGAACACGCGAGGTTTGCCCAGGGGTGGGGGTTATTTTTATTTTTGTTCTTCTTTAAAGGCAGTAGAAAGTGACAGGTTCTTGAGAAGTTACTGTAACTTATTTCTGCCTTTCCCCCCTTCTTCTTTCCCTCCCCCCCCCCCCAGCCCCCCCCCCCCCCGAGAAGTTTTTCTTTTCGTTTTCCCTATGGCTAATTTAGAAAAACTAAACCCACCACCACCCCTTACCAACATTTGCAGACGGTTCCTTGTGAACAAGGAACATAAGTATTGCCTTGAAGAGAGAAAATGGCCACTGATTTCCGAGAGTGTATAATTTTCCACTATTGTAAATGACAGTGAAATACAGTGGCCTACTTTATCTTCCCTTGCTATGATATAAATATCCGCCATAAGGGTCAGAGCAGTGTGAGAAGAGTAACTCAAATACATACGTATCAAGGACCTTGAGAGACACCAGAGGTTCAGGCGTTTTTAGAGACTTCTTCCTGATTGCAGAATGCGAAATCGGATTGTTGTGGATCTGCACGGCACAGCTTAGGCCTCGATCGTCACACATAATTAGATGCTTGTTTATAAAAAATAAAGCAAATATTAATTTTCATGGATATTTTAAGATTGTTCTGCAAAATTCTCGTAGGGAGCCATTAGAGGAGTCCACAACCTTATTTAATCCAGAGCACAGCCTGGAGAAGAACAGAGGTAGAAGAGAAGGGAAGTAGAAATATTTGCATGAAAATATCGGCAAAAAACAGATATTATATCTTTTATAAATTATATATATTTATAAATATATATTTTATAATATGTATATATAAAACCCATAAACCCTTCAAGCTATAGGACTCAAGGTGTGGAGATAAAGCAACTCACAGTTCGCCTGTTCTAGTCCATAGCTAGATCATTCTCAGAACTTTTGAAATATCAAGTGTGGGGGAGATATACACACACACATATATGTATATAAATCAACAGAAAGAATCCACTTTTCCTTATTACCTTCAAGTCCTTTGTTTCTTGTGCTGGTAGTAGGCCTAATTTCTTCATTTTGTACTAAAGAGAGGAAAAAGAAACTACAAACCCTGGTTCACTTGAAATGCACAAATCTCGAATATAAAGCATAGCTATGAAGGTGGTGATTATCTTGAAGTAAATTCTCTGTAGCAATGACAAAGCCTTCTTATGAATCAGGCAGTGTGGCAACTATTTTTCTCCATATTTCCACATTTGCTGTAAATGCTGGTGTTTCTTTTTTTTTTCTTTTTTTTTTCTTTTTTTTTTTTTTTAATTTCCTTTCCTTCTTTTTTTTTTTTTTTTTTAATTTTAATTTTTATTTTTTTTCCCCTAAGCTTTTCATCAGGGAGATTGAGTTCTTCTAAAATACCCATTAGGTCTAAAGTAGTCACTGAAATGTGCTGAAAATCTGATTCCGAAGTGTCTGGGAGCGGTAAAACAGTAATGTGTATTTAATCTAAAAAAAAAAAAAAAAAAAGATTTTCGCTTTTGCTTAACCGTGTTCTTTCCATAATAAAATATAACAACATTACAATCACAAAAGTAATTCATAAATATATTTCGGCAGCTCAGAGACACCAAACCCTGAACCCATAGTATATCGGGCTGCAGTTTGCAGGAGGAGAGTGGCTTCATATTCACTTTACATGGAAATCTATTTCAGGGGGAAAAAATGTTTCACAATAAAGAGAAAGCAGTTGGTTTTGCCTTTATTTTCTATTTAGAAATTCGGGTCTTATTCTCGAGCTTTGTTCAAAATTAAATTGCTTAATTAAATAGATGGAACAAGGAAAATTTTTACACTCCTCGAGCAGTGTTAGAGAGAGTTTTGTGTTGAAACAGCGTCCACGAAGCAGTTTCTGAACCCCGAGTGGGTCCGGGATGGGGGCCGACACTCAAAAGATGGATGCTAGGGGCAATCCTACAGCCACCCACTCGGGGAGAGCACTGGCCATGCCGTCACCTATTTTTCTTGCAACATCTATACTTGTTTATTTCTTAGGACGATGGGAGAGATTCTATTTGTTTTGTCTTTTGTGTGTGTGGGGATGTGTTTGTTATTTGTATTTGCTTTGCTTAACTACCTTTTGTAAACTGTTAGGTGATTATTCAGAGCCATTAGGTCGTTTTGCTTTCCGATTACTCCATAGCCCAAAACGAGGGACTGAAATATGCATCTAAAAATTTTCTGGAGGGTTTCTAAGAAAATTGTAAAAATATCTGGGGATATTTTCACAACTGTTTAGGACAGCACATGACATTCAGAAATTAAATCTGAGCAAGTTTATATCACACGACTTGGAAAACAGAAACTGAAGTATTTATTCTTTATTATTGCAGGCTGGGGGGGGGGTTGGGGTTTTGGGGGTTTTTGTGCCTTTTTTTTTTTTTTTTTCCATTTTATGTTCAAAACAGACCGTTAGAAGTTGTGTCATAGAAGTTTAAAAATAAGGTGCTAGATTTCCCTGTTCTTACCCAATATGTGTAATGAGGATACTTGTCTTTGCAAATATACTGAAATCCTAAGGTGAAAAATAGAAGAATACTGTTCAACTATTTCTGTTCATACTTTTTACCTAATTTTCAGCTTAACTCCAAACAACTGTTCCCCCTCCCCTTAATGGTAAATCAGTTTACTTCCATGTAACCTCTCCATCGAACCCCCACCCCTGTCCCTCCTGCACCATTTTGCCAATTTACAGGCGAGGAAATCTCAATATTATGTTCGCTATAATTTTCCTCTTTGTAATATTTAATTATTCCCTAAAATTATTACAGAAATACTTGTTAGATTATAAAATAACTCTCGTAAATATTTTTAAATACTATTTTTTTTTGTTTTGTTAAAAATGTAGCACTTGCTAAGCCTTAAACGGGGCATAAGATGGCTGCTTCTGGTAACAGAGAACAATCTTTTTCGTCCTGTGTGCTATTATCAAAACATCTAGGACAATCTGCAGGATTTCTGTACTGTAGTATTTTAATGGATCTGTGTTCAGTGTCAAAGATCTGTATCTTTGTGATAGTGACTTTAAAAGTCAATAAGAACAGAAATATAAGATAGGAAGACTGCTTAATGTAGACCGATTTTTTTTTTTTTTTGATGATGTTGTTCGGGAAAATATCTGTGCAGTAAGGTTCGTTGGGGAGAGAAGGTGATTTCTCCTCCTTTCACCCCCAAGATACAAGTGTAATACAAGGGTCGTTTTCAAAACACATTAGCACAGGCTCGGCTGTTAATTTCCCTAACTTCAGATATGACCGTGTGTTGTCATGTTTTGAATAATTTGAGGTTGTTTGTTGATATTAGAATTGTGCAAAATGGGGTTTGCATATGTGGGGGTAAAATTCATATGACTTCAATAATGTAATTTAAAATTGTGTCCTATTAATGGTCCACTAGCTTGATCAGTGATTTGGGGTATCAGTAATCATTAGCATGGAAGCATATACGTTGTTCTACTCCATTCTGCGATTTCGCAGATTTAAGCAGATTTTAGCAGGGATGGAGATGCAGACAGGCCATCTGACTCCTCTAGTAACATCTTCACTTGCAAATATGTTGACGTGTGAGTGTATAAATTTTTTTAGACTTACATATTCACAAAAAAACCCATACACACATATTTATACAGCCACACATGCATAAAATACACTATCTATACTATTTCACAGAAAGGAAGATTAGCCAGTGATAATATGCAACCCTACCGCTCCTCAAGAGTGATTTGAAATTTTGAGACACCTGACATACGTAATCAAGGAGGTTTTCTCCTTGGATTTATCTCTACATGGCTATCCTGAATGGCAGAGAGTGCATGAAGGACTGGAGGACACTTTGCCTGCTGGGTGGGGGATCCTTTCCTCTTCTCACACTTCACGGACTTTTATAAAACCCACTTTGAAACTTTATTTGTGTGTTTTTATTTTCATTTTTATTTTATTTGTTTTTTTTTTTTTAATCGCCTGCCAGCCCTGGGGTCCGCTCCGCACCACGCGCTAAGGCAAAACCATAGTGCGTGGGAGCCCGTCGCAGGTCTCTGCCGAGCGGGCGCCTCAGCCCGCCCGAGCCCCTCGAAATGCCACACCCTGCTCCCGAAACGCCGCTTTCTCCAGAAACTGCGCCAGCGGGGCTCAGAAAACCCCCAGATGAGGAAATTAGGGAACTGACATTGCGGGGGGAAGAAAAGAAGTAGAAAAAGAAAAAGAAAAAAAAAAACAAAACAAAACAAAACCGAACCAAACCAACACTAAAAAAAAACTTGCTTAATCGGTTTCTGTATTTGCTCACTTCGCTGTCGGACCTGGGGGCCGTGGCTCCTAAAGGCCCCGCTCTCCACATTGCCTTGGGGGAGCGCAGGAGCCTTAAACCCCCTCCTTCGCCCTGCCTCTCACTCGGGTCTGCCCGTAGCTTCCAGGTGTCGGAATAAAACCCTCCGAGCCGCGAGTGGTGCGTGGGTCGGTGCTGCGCAGCCCCGCGGGCGCCGGGGCCGATTCCCCGCTCCGCATCGCTTCGGGTCCGGGGGGTAGGGGCCACGGGCGTCCCCGGGCCACGCCGAGTGGAGGCACTTTGCCCAGGAGGGCTAAGTAGGAGAGCGAAAAGCAAGGGGAGGAGTCAGGTGCTTGTCTTTTCGGGAACTTTCTCAGCGGCAAGGAGAGGCCCTGCTCAGCCTCTGGCTGCCGGGCTGCAGCCGTGCCTCATCCCTGCGGGGCTCTCGCCGGTTTCCCCGCCCGCCGTGGGCTCCCACGGGTCCGGGGTAAAGCGGTCCTCTTCTGCCGAGTGCCATTAGGTGCATCGCAGACTTCCTGCGGGCACGGCGCTCTTCCTCATCCGGGCCGCCTGCTCCCGGCCGGCGCCGGGACGCGGGGGGGGGACGGGACACGGACCCCAGACCCACGGCTCGCAGGGGCTCGGGGCAGGGCGACCCCTCTCCCCGGTGCCAGAACCCAAATCTGTCCCTCACCCAAGAGTCCCCCTCTGCCCCGGGAAGGCTCCGCTCCCGTCCCCGCTCCGCCCGCCCCACGCAAGACAGCCGCGGGGCGCGACCCACCTGTCCCGGCCCAGGGCAGCGGCCGCCGGCCCCCCAGAACCCGTTTGCCGTTTTACCGCAGCCGGCGGGACACCCCTGCCCTCCCCCTTGGAGCTGGGGGAGGAGGGGATGCTGCCGCGTCCAGCCCCGGGCAGGGGTGTGCGGAGGGGGAGAAAGCCGCGCCGTGCCGGGGGGGGGGCCGCCTGCCCCGGGGGTGGGGATGGGGGGTGGAGGGGGGGGGGATGCGGGTGGGGTGGGGGGGTGCGAGGGGCGGCCGCTGCCCTCGGGAGGAGGAGCAGCGGCGGCGCGACAGACGAGGTCGCGGCCCAAGGGGAGACGTGAAGCCAGGGGCGGCCGTGCGGCTCGGGAGGGTGGGAAGAGATGGAAGGGTTCCCCCCCCGGGGCGAGGGCTCCGGTGACCGGCTGTGCACCGCCGCCGCCCGCGGGGACTGCGGGGAGGTGCGGAAGCTCCTGGACGCGGGCGCGGACCCCAACGGGACCAACTCCTTTGGGAGGACCCCGCTCCAGGTACGGAGCACCGCGGGGTGGGAGTGACGGGTGGGGGAAGCTGTCCTCCGCCACGCTGGCGGGGGAGGGGGGGGGAGAGTTTCGGGGCTTGAATTATTTTTTATTATTATTATTATTATTAATTAATTAATTATTATCGGAATCGGACTCCAGGCGCAGCTGCCTGACTAGAAGCGAGAGCTTTTCCCAACCCTCGGCACCCTGCAAATGCTAGAGGGAGTTTGGAGGGGTACCGCTGGCAGCAAACGAATTATGCTGAAGGGTACTCAAAAGGACAATGGGGACTGCAAAATCCGCTCCCAGATAGGTTTAGGGAGTTGACTGAGCTTGGAGCAACTTTTCTTGTTTGTTTGTTTTAAATATAGCCTTAACGGGTGTTTTCCCCCAAGGAAAACGAAGTGGGATCCCTTACTAGTATTTTCCTGTGACTGTGGCTTAGAAATTGTGACGGGGTTGAAAGTGTGACTTGAAACTAGGTATAGATTAGTAGTCACTATTATTAGTAGTATTTTTTAATACTCGCTATTCTTCAATATTGGTAGTATTAATTGATAGATATTATATGTACCAGTGTGTAGTGGAGTTGCTTTCTAGTCATTATGAGAGCTAGAAGTGTGTTATATTAATCGACATACTTACGATGAAAGGTTTTAAATGCTCGTTTAACCATTAATGTATTGTAATATAAACTGGAGTTGTGCATTTCATGAAAAGGTTTTCTCGAGTTACCATTTGAAGCAATATATTTAGTGCTTCACCAGCTAGGCTGAATAGCCATTTTGGTCCTTGCACTTTAAATGGAAAAGGAAATATTTTTCTGAGGTAAGTTGCTGAGAAAGGCACTGAGAAAGTTATTCGTTTTGTTTCTGTTGTAGGTTCAATTTCCAGACGAAAAGAGTCTCCTAATTCTTGTAACCTTTCTATTTCCTCCCCTCATTTCAGAGTGAAACTTAAGTTCTGTTTTCCCTTCACAAAATGGCAGCCACTCTGACTCCACTTGCCTTTCTGAAAAACTTAATCTCTACAGGAATTTATAAATAAGAAATTTAGAAGCATTGTCACACTCTTGTTATAAATAAAACCAAATATTTGTAGTCCATAACCTAATTCTCTCCACATAGAAAATAATGAGGAAACTTATTGTCTCGAGATATTTTTTACACTGTTTAAACTCAATTTGTGGAGGTTAAAATGCTATTGAAAATGACCATCAGAGTGAGGGAAGTAAACCTCCAAGTGTAATTCCCTTCTTTTTGTTTGCTTTTTGTTTTTGTTTGGGGGTTTTTGGTTGTTGTTTTGGGTTGTTTTTTTATTCAGTCGTGCACGGTCAGACCTTGAGAGAAAATTTCTGCTCGTGGTCCAGCTGCGGAGTGACACCGTGGATCATCAGGAAAGTTTTGTGTGTCACCCATGGGCGCCCAGCAGCTTTCCTTGCTCCTGTGAGAAGCGGCGCAGGAGCAGAAGAGTTGAGAGAGGGAGAAATGTCTCGATCTGAGGAAGGGGGAAATCCACACCCAGCACCGGCCGGAGCCCGGGCACGGCCGGGCCGTTGCAGCCCGCTGCCTCGCCCGGCCGCGCTCGCCGTACCGGGAGCTGCGGTGCTCCTCGGTGCATCGGTGAAACACATCCCGTGGGGCCGGGGGGGTTAACGTATGTATATGTCACAGAATACATACATATATATGTGTATCTATGTATGTATATGTCACAGAATACATGCATATGTATATATACATATATGCATATATGTGCATATATATGTAGATATTTGTACATATATGTACATATATGTGCGTGTATATATATACACACACTATATATGGTATCATAAATATATATAAATAGTGTGTGTGTATACATACACACAGAGATATATGTGCACACAATGTATAGTATTATAAATGGTACATATAATAGTATGTATAAATTGCATATATGTGTGTGCATATATATGTATGTGTGTATATACACGTATGTGTGTATATATACATACACACGCCACAGGTACCATATATATACCATGGTATATGTAAGTGGTGTGAAATGTGGAACAGAATGTACGGATATGTAGCACCTGGTCAGGAAATGACACGCACCGTGTCTAATATTTTAATTTACATCAAATTAAATATTTAATTTATATTCCAGCTCGAATATCTCGAGCTGGAAGGGACCCATAAGGATCACCGAGCACAGCCGTGCGCATTTACCCAGGCCACAGAGGCAAAAGCTGAGATGGGAAAATTGCGCCCAGCGCCAAAACACCCGACAGCGGAAAACTGCGCGCAGAAGACCCCCCCATCCCCGCGGCACCCCCCCCCCCACCGCTCCCCGCTCAGCCGCCGCCCCCCCCGCCCCTCCGCGGCCGCGGATCCCCCGCGGCGGGGCCGGGCGGGCGCTGACGCGGTCTCTCCCCGCAGGTGATGATGCTGGGCAGCCCGCGGGTGGCCGAGCTGCTGCTGCAGCGCGGGGCCGACCCCAACCGCCCCGACCCACGCACCGGCTGCCTCCCGGCCCACGACGCGGCCCGCGCCGGCTTCCTGGAGACGCTGGCGGCGCTGCACCGCGCCGGGGCGCGCCTCGACCTGCCCGACGGCCGCGGCCTCCTCCCGCTCGACGTGGCGGCCGGCGGCCCCCACGGACCGGTGGGCCGGTACCTGCGACACCCGCCGCGCTTCCCCGACGAGGCAGCGGGAGCCGGCCCGGCGGCGGGGGCTGCGCGCTGAAACACACACCCCCCCCCCCCCCGCTTCCCTGTCGGCCGGCGCCGCCCCCCAACCCACCGCCGCAGCGCTCGAAGACCCGGCTGCAGCCGTCCCCCCGCCCGCTCCCCGCGAAGACCCCTCTCTCCCCTTGTGCCCTGCGCGCAACTCCGCGGCAGACACGGGGGTGGTCTCCCCCGCCCCCCCCCCCCCCCCCGCCCTGCGCCGTCGAGGCACCCAGCGAGCGCTCACGGCTGCTGGGGAGGGTTTCCTTCCCTCCCTCTGCCCCAGATCTTCCGCATGACGCGATCACCCGCTCCTTGTCCTGCTTCTGGGAGGTGACGCATGTTGCTGCATTTTCTAAGAATACGCGGAAAGAGCCAAAACAAGGCTGCGGGGACCGCTCCTGGTCCTCCCCTCCCCGCAGTCTCCCCTGCGAGCGGACGACAAGCACCAACGGTTCTCCGATTCTCCATGGGAGAAAAAAAAAAAAAAAAAATTAAAAATTCGTCGTTTTCTCCCCTTCATTTATGGTTAAATTGATGCGGTTTAGAGAAGTGAGAATGCTTCGTTTCCCTTAGCAGCTTTCTCACTGCTCTGCAAGCCATTGCCTTGATACCTGTCCTATTCCTGATGGTCCTGATTTTATTAATTATTGCACAATCCTGTAGAGCTTTGCATTTTTGTGATACCGTGTAATTCTTTTATGTAGCGCTCCGAAATAGTGAACACTTTAGCCATTCCGTTCACAAGTTTAATTCATCTTCAGATCTTCTCCTCTAACCATCTTACTCAACTTAGAAAGTCTTAAAATATTTAGCACTGATCAAGATTACAAATTGGGAACTACTACAAATATTTTATATGGATGTATTCAAGGAAGACTATCCCTGTGAGAAATCAATTGTCAATCGTTTAGTTACTGTGTAGTTTTAACACCTGGAGATACCTCGTTGATTCAGAAGTTCTGGGCAACGAGCTCGGTATTTTAAAGACAACTTTCTGGGTCTCTAAATAAGATATTCAGAAATAACAACAACAACAACAAAATATGACTGAGCTTGGCTAAAAATCTGGATATCTTCACACGCATTGTCTCTGTTTTTCCTACGCGATTTCCATCATCTAACCACTGCTCCTACCACTTATGTTTGATGAAATACTTGTTATTATTCAACAGCAAAATGTCAAACAGGTTGCCTTAAAAAACAAACAAACAAAAAAAACCCCACCCAAAAACAAAAAACAAAAAACACCCAACAAACAAAAAACCCCTTGTGTTCAACTATTAAACAGTTCTGTACTCAGCGCTATTCAGTGTTGGGCGGTGTAGTTTATTTCGACGTTGTTCATCGCTTACATTTTTTGTGTCTGAATAAATACATATATGTACACACAACACATTCACGCAGAACGAATACACAGAGCTTATACGCAGATATGTATTATTTCTGCACGTACACGCCCGATTTAAAAACTTCCATGAAACTCGTTAGTGTCCTTACTTAACGCTTACAGAGCAACAGGAAAGCTCATCTGCACTTCGTACCTTCTCATGACATTATGATCTCTTTAAAAAGGGAAAGATTTTTTTTTTTTTTTCCTTTTTATTACTAAAAAACCGATGGCAAGCACACGCGGTAGAAAAAGTCACCACGGACGCATACTATGCCTAAAGGCTATTTTTTTTCCGATTCCCGCAGATACGCTGGTAATCTTGCTGCCCGCGCTCGGGAGCCCGCACTTTGCTCGGGGCACAGACCGCGGGGCCGGAAGAAGCGGCTCAGTGCCCCCCTCGTTTTGCCCCTAGTTTACCAAGGAACAGCTTTCTGCTGCTCATCTCTTTAAAATGGAAAGGGGAGGGGGAGAGAAAGAAAAAAAAAAAGAAAACAGTCTCCCCTCAAAAGTTTATAGCTCTTTGGGGGCCAAATTGAAAGGGGAGCCCCGCCCCAGAGGGCGTTTGGCAGCCGGCGGGAGTGGGGTCAGCAAATGGGTCTGGGTCTGGGACGGGGGCCGGGCGGGTGGGGCGAATGTGTTTTTATTTTTCTGCCCCGGCCCCCCTCTCCGTCCCCGGCTTTCATGCCGGCAGGCAGGAGACCGGCTCAGCCCTGGGCCCGCGGGCGGGTGACGGTCCCACCCATCCTCGCCTGCTCCGCTCGCCGCCGCGCACCAGACGCGCAGCCCGCGGGATGCCCACGGAAGGGCCCCCCTTCCCCGTGGGAAGGAGGGCCGGAGCCCCGGGGAGCCCCGTCAGAGAGGCGGCGAGTGGAGCAGCATTCATACCGGGATGGCCGCGGGGTTTCCACGCGGCCTATTCCCACGCGGGAAAACCGTGGTGAAGGAGTGTGCCTTTCCCAGGGGCTGTGGCCTCGGAGCTGCTGAAGCCCAAAACTTCCTGGAGGAAGGGAAGGGAAGGGAAGGGAAGGGAAGGGAAGGGAAGGGAAGGGAAGGGAAGGGAAGGGAAGGGAAGGGAAGGGAAGGGAAGGGAAGGGAAGGGAAGGGAAGGGAAGGGAAGGGAAGGGAAGGGAAGGGAAGGGAAGGGAAGGGAAGGGAAGGGAAGGGAAGGGAAGGGAAGGGAAGGGAAGGGAAGGGAAGGGAAGGGAAGGGAAGGGAAGGGAAGGGAAGGGAAGGGAAGGGAAGGGAAGGGAAGGGAAGGGAAGGGAAGGGAAGGGAAGGGAAGGGAAGGGAAGGGAAGGGAAGGGAAGGGAAGGGAAGGGAAGGGAAGGGAAGAAGGAAGAATTTGCACTGCCTAGGGAGGTACAGAAAAAGTTTTCCCCTCCAAATGTCCAGCCCAACCTCTGTGAAGAAATATTCACAACTTTGTTCTCTCTATAACACATCTTTCTAAAGAGAGGTTCATCACATTGAGGTAGCAGCTCTATGTTGCTTTCCTTTCTGTCATAAATGTTCATTCTTTAGACAAGGAGCCAGCAGCATGGTGTATTACAAAGCATAGTTAAATTGTGTGTGATCACTAGCATCTAAATAATTTGAGTAGATATTTTCCATTGTGGTGTCCTCTGTCAAGCTTTTATATTTAATGAAAATACCTTTAGGTGTAATGGCACTTAGAGAAGCAAAGTGTTTTCTATTACTCATTCTGGAAATTCACTCTTTGAGAACATGACCCTCAAGCTTTACAATGGCTTCATCCCCTTTAAATTCACATTTATTGCGTCTACGGGTCCACAGGCTTTAAATATCATGTTTGCAGTTTTTGAGATCTTCATGGAAGTGAAAAACAAAGACCATTTTAGGAAAGAAAGTAATCACCTGACCTTTTGTCCTGGTTGTAGCTGGGATAGAATTAATTTTTCTTCTTAGTAGCTAGAACAGTGCTGCGCTTTGCATTCAGTATGGGATTTGGTGCAAGAAGAATGCTGATAACACGCTGATGTTTTCAGTTGTTGCTGAGAGATCCAGGACTCTCCAATTCCCCATGTCCTGCCCGTGCGCAGGTGCACAAGGAGCTGGGAAGGAGCATGGCCAGAGCACCGGACCCACGTCAGCCAATACAACATTCCACAGCATGTGACGCCATGCTCAGTATATAAAGGAGGGGCGGTTGGTAAGTGGGGGTGGTTCTCACTCGCTGCTGGGATCGTGGTATATTTTGGGATTGCTATCCGGGAATGGGCTGGGTATCAGTTGGCGAGTGGTGAGCAATAGCATTGTGCATTAGCCATTTGTACTTGCTATTGTTGTTATTATTATTTTTTAAAATTATTATTATTATTATTATTTCAATTATTAAACTGGTTTTATCTCAACCTTTTAGTCTCCCCTTACCCCTCCAATTCCCTCCCCCACCAGCTGGGCAGGGGAGGGTGGGCGAGCGGCTGTATGGGGTTTAGCTGCCAGCCGGCTTTAAACCATGACAGCTTGTCTGTGCCAAAGGTGTGGAAATGTATCAACCTCACTGCGTTCTTACACAGAAAATAAACCTCAAACACTGAGTCTCAGGAGGAAAATGGAAATGTTCAGAGCCCTCATAAAAGAAAGTGAGGAATTTGAAGATAGGACAGGTAAACCACAGGATGTGCTGCTGAGGAGAAGACCTCTGAAGACATTTATATCTTACAAAAGCTCTGGTGGAGCAATCACTCCCAGCAGTAGAGGTGAGGGATGATATACCTCATTCTAGATTTTTTTTTTTTTTTAATCAGGTCTCAATCAATCCTAATCTGATACTCACTGAAGTAATTCACCATTTCTTTATTTTTTTCCTTTTTTTTTTTTTTTTTTTCCCCTCCCCCAAACTTAGAGGAATAGTAGGAATACTTTAAGATACTGTATGAACAGAAGACAAGACAGAACACTCTTTTTCTCTGTAGAAAAGAGATCAGAGGACAAATTTCTCCACATTTCTCTCTCCTAGTTACCATAGAAACTCTCGCTAAGAAAGTGTTTCTGTGCTGAGGAAAGCCCAAGTGACATAAGAAGTGGTCCTTAGGAGTTGAAAACCAAGAACCTTGCAACTAGAGGCTTCAGGTTGTTTCACAGAAAGATACACAGACGTTTTCCACTAGACCCAGCATTGTCCTTGATAGCGAGTGTAAGCTCAGGACTGAGAGTGAGTGGCTTGAAGACTTGTTTGCACCTATTACTGCAGCCAGAGGCTGTGTAACCAGGGAGAGGGTTTTCACAAGGGATCAAGGGGACAAAACATTTAGAGTTCAGCTCACACTGTCAGCAGAGGTCATGGTGTTTGAAATACCGTACTTCCTACCACCAAACTAGGTAGCTCATGCTGCCATTTATGTAGTCACTCTTCTGAGGAAGCAGCTTACTACACGTGATTTCTGAACAAAGACATTGCTACTTGAGGAAATGGCAGTGGTAATCTAGAACATAAGAACTGGATCTCTGAGGTGGGGAAAGTCCCAGGATGAGCATCCTTTTCTCTGCATGGTGTTGGTGGTTGACAGCACAGGCTGGGTAAAAAGGTAAGAAAACAGGCATGATGAGAGCTGGAGGATGGGGCAGAGGCACAGGGTGTCCAAAACAGAGAGAGAGGAGGCTGGTCCAGCTCAGGGAAGAGACATCTGGAGAAAGGAGAGACAAACACAGCAGAGTCTGCCTAAGCCTGAAAGGATGCACAACAGACCTCTACCTCACCCCATGCCAACACAGATCAATGGTTTTGTTAAAACAAAGGTCATCCCTGCAGACATCCAATGCACAAGGCTGATGAATAGTGGTACTTACAATTAGACAGTTGACCCTGTTTGGTGGAAATCATGGAAGAGAAGGCATTCCTTGCCTCCCAAGATCAAGCATTTGAACACTGTTAGCTTTACAGTTTTTTTACATCTGTTTTTACCTTAGGCCCCAACCAGTCTTACGCCCAGAGGAAGAATTGAGAGCCACGCCAAGGTACTTATAACACTGCAGACTTGAGAATTTATATCAAATATGGATCAGGTCCAAAGGCAGAGCAGATACCAGTGTCCTCCTCATATGCATTTTAAGGTGAAAACAATTTCTACCATACTGGCTTCCTACTGGTTTATCTTGCTGGCTTATCTTCAGACAGATGTGAAAGAATGATTTTGAATGTTTGGCCATTGTATGAAATCAAATAAAATGTTATTTCAGATCCTTCTCACAAGTGGATAAAAGCCCGTACAAAAGATGCTTCCTATAAAACATTAATTAAGAAAACACAGATTCTAAATTAAAATTCAAAGATTTCCATGAGATCAAATGTCTTCCTCCTTGTGCTAGAGAAACCAAACAACTGGACAGACTTCAGTTTATCCTCTAAGATACATTTCCCTTACTACATGCATTATTCTTGCTTCTGAATCTTGCTAAATATGGGGATTGAACATTGTGTCCAAATTTCATTATTATTTTCTCTTTTTGAGGTGTACATAGAAACCACTGTTTGTTTGTTTGTTTGTTTGTTTGTTTTTTTTAAATCATGTTCTTCTCTTAAGCAATGTTGTTCAACACCGTGGACATCAAGATACTCTACAGATTTGCATCATCCTTTTTTTTTTTTTTTCTACAGCTCTATAGAAGCACACAAGGTATTACAATTTATGAATGTACTTCATTTGTATATATGCTACTTCTGTTGTTGTTTTCAGTAAATGTTCATGCAGTTCTTTTCACTGTAGCAGGGCAAACTGTTTCACCAAATGTCAAGCTAAAAAATTTAATGCTAAATAATGTGCATAAGAAACCTGATTCCGTGATGAATGCCTGCCCTAAGGCAGGACATTTGAACATAATGAGAGGTGTATGCATCCAAGAAGAACATGCTGCAAACAGACTAGTCCAGCAAGCTGGTTCATAAAAATTATAT